TAAAAGTGTTATTTAGGTTTGACCTCATATTATATGGTTTTTGGTAAATCTAATTGGATTGGGGTAGTGAGTTCCAGAGGACGGGGGAAGCCCTGGAGAAGTCCTGGAGATGGGCATGGGAGGAGGAGACCAGGGAACTGGAGAGTAGGAGGTCCTGTGAGGAGCGGAGAGTGCGTTTTGGGTGGTAGATGGATATCAATTGGATACAATTGAAAGTGTTGTTTAGGTTTGACCTCATATTATATGGTTTTTGGTAAATCTAATTGGATTGGGGTAGTGAGTTCCAGAGGACTGGGGAAGCCCTGGAGAAGTCCTGGAGACTGGCATGGAAGGAGGAGACCAGGGAACTGGAGAGTAGGAGGTCTTGTGAGGAGCGGAGAGTGCATTTTGGGTGGTAGATAGATATTAATTAGATACAATTAAAAGTGTTGTTTAGGTTTGACCTCATATTATATGGTTTTTGGTAAATCTAAAGCAAAAATCTCAGGAAAATTGTATAGTGTATGGCCAGCCTAACACTATCTCTCTCCAGATTGAATGCTGCTGCTCAAGGGTGTTTCTTTTGCCCCGCCAACCAGAGCGGGAGACTCTCTAGGATAAGAAGTGCGTTACCGGCCAGGTGAAAATAAAAGAAAAAAATCCTAAACATAAAAAACGAATGCAGTCACCACATTTAAGGATTGGTAAGCTGCAATATACTATTTTTTTTGTTTTGGGGTTAGATCCACTTTTTTTTTTTTTTTTTTTTTTTTTAACTAAGCACCTGTATATTGCTTACAGACCAGAGCGATTTTTCATTTTTCATTAGGTTTAATACCACTTTAATTCCCGAAGCAGATAAATAGCAGCGTTCTCTGCCTGAGAAAATGCACTTCGCTCCCTTAATGGCAGACTCGGGTCTGTGCACACATCTCTCTTCTTACATAATATTGAATGTGGAACGATAGAAAATCAACAGAGAAAAAGAAAAACCAAAAATAAAAATCTAGCATTCACTTGAGTATGCTGATACACTGATCACAGTTACACGGGTATATATAACCTGATCATAAAAAACCCTTTTTAACCCCTTCAGTACCGGGCACTTTTACCCCTTTCCTGCCCAGGCCAACTTTCAGCTTTGTGTTGTCACACTTTGAATGACAATTGCGCAGTTATGCAACACTGTAACCATAAAAAAGGTTATAATTTTTTTCACACAAACAGAGCTTTCTTTCGGTGGTATTTAATCATCATTGAGTTTTTTATTTTTTGCTAAATAAATAATAAAAAAAACTTTTGAAAAAACTGCATTTTCTTTGTTTCTGTTATAAAATTTAGCAAATAACATTTCTTCATAAATTTAGGTCAAAATGTATTCTGCTACATTTCTTTGATGAAAATATCCCAAATTAGTGTATGTTATTTAGTCTGTAGGAAAGTTATAGCGTCCACAAACCGAGGTGTATATATCTGACAATCGATCGATCCTGATGTACTGATGGCCCATCTCATTTCTTGAGGCCTGAAAACTCCAGAATAGTACAAATACTACCCATTTTTGGAAAACAGACAGTCCATAGTATTTAGTAAGAGGCATGGTGAGTTTTTTGGAGGTTGTAATTTTTTGTTACGATTTTTTGGAAAATGTAGAAATTTAAAAAAATCATTTTTTTTTTTTTTTATATTTTGTCACCAGTTCAGTCCAGCGTTATTATATAACTGGTGTGACGGTGATCAGGGACACTGACTTGTGACAGTATGTAAAAAAATAACCATTTTCAAATTTTTCTATTTTTTTATCACATTTTTTTTACTATTTTTTTGTTCAGCACACTGTGACCAAAGCAATACAATATATCAACCGACTTAAAATACACCCAAAGTCCAAATAAATGTCCCAACTCCTGATAAATTGTCCAAATTACATCCAGATCTTGATGAATAGGTACCCACTCGTACAAAATGAAGATGAATCCCAGATGCTTTTCATATACCCGAAATTCAATATAATCAACATGTAATCCAAAATTTTTGGCATGGAATATCCTCAGATTGACATCCTCTTCTCCAGACACTTCCCTTAGACCTCACAAACAGACCAGGGATCAGCGTATGAATCAAATAACATACAAATTTTATTGTAGCTACTTACATTATAAACCGATAAAAACAGCTTCCTGGTCCTGACGATGTGTATACAGCCATATTGTGGTATCAAACAGCTTCCTGATTATAAAGAAGTATATACCGCCACAATACTTCCAAACACTGACACTTCAGCTCTAGAAGGGTGCCAGGAGTATACTAAGAGTCCCAGGAATACAGACCACCATGCGCTCCAGAATCCAAAATGGCCACCACGGCACTTGCGGGAAACGTCAATACGTCACTACGTCACGTGCCCCGGGCAACCGTTGACAAGGTTCGGAAGAGACGAAACGCGTCTGGGCACGTGACGTATTGACGCTCCCGGAAGTGCCGTGGCGGCCATTTTGGATTATGGAGCGCATGGTGGTCTGTATTCCTGGGACTCTTAGTATACTCCTGGCACCCTTCTAGAGTTGATATATTATATTGGTACTTCAGGGGAAGGATTGTGATACGACTTTAATGGGTATTGTATTTTAATTGATGTGTGCTGACTTACAGTTATTTCAAAGCAATACAATGTTACCATAGTAACATTGAACTACTCTGGGCAAGTGATCAGGATTTTTTTTTTACACATTATGATTGCTAATACCAATGTATTTCATTGATATTTGCTATCATTGTTATTGAATGAAACTGATTAATTCAGTCTTTTGTTGTGATTAACTGTGATTGGCAAAGCTTATCACATGATACAGATGGGATGTGATGATTGGCCCTCTCTGTACCATGTGACTGCTTTGACCAGTCACAGATAACAACACAATTGTATACAATGAATGGCATGACAGGAAGCCATGCATTGTACACAATTGACATGTGAGCTGCTGTGATTGGTCACAGCGTTCACATGACACTGGCAATGGGCCGGTGTAGTGATATGTCATCCATGGAACACAGCCGGTGACAGATTGCGCCGCTGTACGCCCCTTTTGACAGGACGTCATATGATGCCCAGTCTCAAGGAGGAGTGTCCTGCCCAGCCGTCAATCTGCTATAGGCCGAGCAGGAAGGTGTTAAATAAAAGTTTACGAAAATCTTCCCACAAAATAAACTTTAAGGGCCGGTTCGCACCATAGAAACGCAGCCCACATGTTTTCCAGTTGCGTTTCCACGTGCGTTTTTTTTTGGTGCGTTCCATTGCATTTTGGATTCATTCTGGTTCATTTTTTTCCCCTCTCTTTTTCTTGAATTTGAGGGCCAGTTCACACTACATGCATTTCAGTTTCTTTTTTTCTGCATCCAAAATGCACAGAAAGTAGGTGATATGGTTGTCAATGTCATAGTTCACATCAGTGCTTGCAGTTCCAGTGCATTCCGGATGCAGAAAAAAAGCAGAACAGGTTGCATTTTTCCTGCACAGAACTGTACTGGAACTGAAATGCACCAAATTGCAGTGGAACACACATGTCCCTATTTAAATTGAAGAAAGGGGAAAAAAATAACCATAACGCATCAAAAACGCACCAGAACACGTAAAAAAATGCACCAAAAGCACTCCAAAAACGTGTATGAGGAAACGCATCTGGAACACATCTGGACTGCGTTTCTATGGTGCGAACCGGCCCTTAAAGTTTATTTTGTGGGAAGATTTTTGTAAACTTGGTTTATGGTGTGAATTGGTCCTAAATAGGAGTGCATTTTTGGTGCATTCCAGTGTGTTCCGGTGTGTTTTTGATGCTTTTTACCGCATTCCAGTACAGTTCTGCGCAGGAAAAATGCAGCCTGTTCTATGACTATGACATTGACAACTATATAACCTATTTTTTGTGCATTTTGGATGCAGAGAAAAAGCAACTGAAATGCATGTAGTGTGAACTGGCGCTTAGGGCTGGCTCACACTACATGCATTCAAATGTGGGGTTTTTTTTCTCTGCATCCAAAACTTACAGAAAGTAGGTTATATGGCTGTCAATGGCATTGTTCACACTAGTGCATGCAGTTCCAGTGTGTTCCAGTTCCAGAAAAAAAGTAGAACAGGCTGCAGTTTTCCTACACAGAACTGCACTGGAACATGGTAAAACGAATAAAACTCATCAAAAACACCCCAAAAATGCACTGGACCCCTAATGACCCAAAGAAGGAGGAAAAAAAGCATCTGGAATACGACTGTGTTTTTTATGGTGCGAAGCAGCCCTGAATCCTAATAGTCAGCTGAAGACTTCATATCTGTTGTACTATTAAAGGAAATATGTCATAAGGAAAAATATATACCCTGCCATTGCTAGCATTTTTTTTTCAAATTTACAAATGGTGTGGTTTTGTGGGTGTGGCTACAAATGATGGTGAACCTTAGATAACGCCTACTTTATATTTGTTACATGTCCCCGTTCACAACACAAATGTCATTAGGCTATTTGCTGTGCAGGACAAATATTATCCATTGATTTAAAGTGTTACTGAACCCACAACAGTAAAATCAGTCTGTATATGCAGTAAAGCATGCTTGTTATACTCACTGTAGAACCTAAGGGGTTAATCCTCTGCGTTGTGTAAAAATTCAGTTTGATCCTGACTAATCTGATCCTCTCCTTCTTCCAGTGTCCCCCCTCTTATCTGCTGATAAGACATATCGTGTGGAGTCACTCTGCACATGCTCAGTTTGGTGTGTATTGATAGGGGCTTTTTTAGAGGTTTTTTTTTCTTGGGAGAGTGCATGTGATCAGCACAGGGCCATTCAGCATTGCCCCGACAGAGGTCAAGGGTTCTGCATCCTCCTAGAGCAAAAATAAAACTCCTCCTACAAGCTTTAACCAGTGCTCTGCTTCACCCTGATAGAAGTCACAAGACTGCTCTAACTGCTGATGAGAAAAGGTATTTGGCAGTTTATATTTACTAAAATAATTGCATTTCCATGTTGTGTGTACTGTGGGATACCAGATACAGTGAATGCAGGGTCCAGGGAGACCGGATATAGTGAATGCAGGGTCCGGGGAGACCAGATATAGTGAATGCAGGGTCCGGGGAGACCAGATATAGTGAATGCAGGGTCCGGGGAGACCAGATATAGTGAACGCAGGGTCCGGGGAGACCAGATATAGTGAACGCAGGGTCCGGGGAGACCAGATATAGTGAACGCAGGGTCCGGGGAGACCAGATATAGTGAACGCAGGGTCCGGGGAGACCAGATATAGTGAACGCAGGGTCCGGGGAGACCAGATATAGTGAACGCAGGGTCCGGGGAGACCAGATATAGTGAACGCAGGGTCCGGGGAGACCAGATATAGTGAACGCAGGGTCCGGGGAGACCAGATATAGTGAACGCAGGGTCCGGGGAGACCAGATATAGTGAACGCAGGGTCCGGAGAGACCAGATATAGTGAACGCAGGGTTTGGGGAGACCAGATATAGTGAACGCAGGGTTTGGGGAGAGCAGATACAGTGAATGCAGGGTCCGGGGAGACCAGATATAGTGAACGCAGGGTCCGGAGAGACCAGATATAGTGAACGCAGGGTTCAGGGAGAACAGATACAGTGAACGCAGGGTCCAGGGTTTGGTAACACTTTAAAACTGAAAATATTGCTTTTGGCCACCAGATGGTGCAAAGTATCACAGAAAATGCCTATGGTGCTTAGCGCCCTCTAGTGTCGAAATAAAGTGAAAAAAACATTCATCCAGCAGAGTTAATAGCCTAGTAACATTTGTTTTTTTTTGTGCCCTATTCTCACAGAATAAAATGCACATGCACTTTTTTACTGGGTGAATTGCTATGAATGTTTTTTCATAAATACACCCCTTTAGGTTTAGGGCTCCACTGACAATTCGACCTTCTAAGAAATTGAAAGTTAATATGAACGTAAAAATTGAACATTTGTTAGTTGTGCCTTAGCAGTAACCAACCAGTTAACCTTTTTGAATTCACTCCTACAAAATAGCATTGCACTTCCTGTGCCTAGGCACAGAATATCTATACATCACTTTACAAGGTGTTAGTACGAAGTGTGGGCATATATGGATTGAAATTCGGTTCAGCAGGGACCGGCTAAATTTCGATTCATGTGTGGCCACTGAAGTTGAACAGAAGTCTATCTGCTAACTGACTTCTGTTGAACTCCAGTGGCTGCAGTGCTGATCTGTGTATTTCCTCCCGCTGTCAGAAAACAATAGCACAGTGGGTGAGGATTCCCCTATGTGTGGAAAGGGAAATCAATTCAGTGTTTCACTCTCAGCCTTCCAGCTGAACGAAAAAGACTGAATCATGTATGACCAGCTTAAGGCACTGTTGCCTCTGACTGCTAATCTTATGAGGTTCGGTGATATCACTACTGTGCTGCTCACTGATCCCATTGCTGGAGAGGAAGCTGTACCTGAAGACCAGCAGTGCAAGGATCCCCCTCCTTCTGCTGCATTTGTTCTGTGGAGCTGAGCTCCAACTGCCACTTGATTATTCCCTCATCAATCATTAGATTACCAGTCAATAGAGAAACAACTGTGACATAATGAAGCAAAGTCTTTTACTCTACCAAGATGGCCACCACCACATGGAGGTCAAGTGCAGAACAAGGAATGGTAAGTCAGTAATGGGGAATTAGAACAGCTGCAGGGAGACCATAGGCCAGGGGTGCTCAACCCATTGAAAAGTGAGGGTCACTCAAGTGATTTGATAAGCCACAGGGAAATGAAATGGTTCCAAATTTAATTTTTTTTATTTTGCATAACATAATGAAGATTTTTCTCCTGTAGCCGCTGAATGCCGGCAGGAGGGAGGGGGAGAGAAGCCAGCTTTCAGCATTTGCAGGAGGAAAAATGTAGAGGATCAGTTCATGTATATGCCGCCCTGCTGCCCCTCCTGTTCAAGTGTAAAAAGAATGTGACAGGGAGGCCGCACGGGCCCCCTGGAGCGTGGGGCAGATTCTCCATTGCAACCCCTCCGCTACATCAGTGGTTGGGAGGTTGTGTTAAAAACACATCTCAACTATGGGTTTTACTGCCCCCCAAACAGCAAATGTAGATCAACCTTTACTGTCCTGAGCTCCCTATAAGGCTGCTATCACATGGATATGCTGCGGGTTACCAGGACCACGGGTGCAGTATAGTGCACCTTTTGGCTTTCCTGTGGGTTAGCTGCGCTTTGCCATAGACTTCTACAATATCTTGTGGGTGTGGTGCACTTTCTCAAAGCGCGCCAAAACTCTTCAGGAATTTTGGTGCTCTTTCAGAAAGCCCCTCTAGTCCATAGGATATAATAGAAGGCTATGGCTCAGTGCAGCTAACCCGCAGGTAGGCTGCAGGTCCACTGCGCTGCACCCGTCGATCAGTGTGAACGCAGCCTGTTAACCCTTTTGTAAAAGGGCTATTGCAAAACGATGTGATGTTTAACCACTTTGCGCCGGCGCCTCCCACCCCTTTAAGAGTTTCAGAAGCCAAGAGGCGGGCAGGGTTTTAGGGTCATGTGACCACCGTGATTCGCGGTCACATGATTGGAAAAGGTCCGATCGAAAGGGGAGATCGGGACCTTTCCATGAGTCACGGACATATGTGCAGGGAGTGCGCAGGGCATGTGCTCTCAGCACATATGTGTTTTCTAATTGCACGCAAATATGCGGTCGCTCGCGTCAAGGTCCAGACATCGAGAGGCTGCATATTTGCGTGCACTCAGTGTCATGGGTTAATAAACTGACCTTTTTCTATTCCAGCTTATGCTGGCTTTGTTAGGCTGCTAGAAAGATCTCAGGCACTTAGTATCATCCACCTGGGACTGGAGCTGGCGCTACAGAGGAAGCATGTGGTTCCTGATTCCTCTGTGGCCTCTCACTTCCCGGCTCAGGCTTCATGCATTCTGATGCTATGGGATGGCAGGTCAGCAACCCTCGTTATGGATTTGCCCACCCATCATCCCAGAACATGAGGTCACAGGCCACATCAAAGGATTCTGCGGGCCACAAGTTGAGCACCCCTGTTGAAGGCAATACTGGTAACTAGTCATTTGCCCTCTGCATTCTTTTTTTTTTTTTTTTGGTACAGGTCCTCTGCAAATAAGGTTTCTGCCAACAAGCGGTTACACTGAAATCAATGTACTGCTAAAGTGATGATGGCCAACAAGTAATTAAATCTCTCAGTGGCAAAGAGATTTAATAGCCTGCATAGCCCTAGGCTAATGGAGGATGCAGCAAGTAGCTCTCACTCCCTGTACAAACAAAAACAAGTAATTTCATGTAAGACTAAAAAAGATCTTCAAATAATAGTACATTGTATTGATATCAATAATTTTTTCTATTTTTCTTCTTTTATCAAAAATTGAATGCAGATTTTTTTTTTTTTTAAACAAACCCGCAGTTCTCACGTGAATGTTTTAGTCTCCATAATCAAATGGAATATATTTGTTTAATTTACCAAAGCCATATTGTGAAACAGTTCTGTTTTATGTACAGCCGTTAAATAAAAAAAAATTAAGGATTTATAGCCTTGCCAAATCCCGCTAAGGGCTAAAATTGGCCAGTGCTTTTAACAACATTTCACTAATAAAGTTGATCCCTCACATCCCATAAACATCTGGGAGCTAGGAATGACAGAATTGCCTGTGTCAAAAATCAGTTTAAAATACCATTACACAGATGTCGTGTGCTGAAACATAAAAATCAGGTTTTGAGAAGGAAAACACTGCGCTGTTTCAATGAGCCAAAATTACCACAAAATTTGCCACCAAAAAATATTTTATTTTTTAATAAAATCTTACGAGCGATGTTATACGAATGCATAATGACCGTAAATATAAAATATTTAGCGGTTTATTGTGGGAGGCTAATGTGAACATCAATGAGGCCTTCAAATAACCTTGAGTCAGCCAGCAAGCCAAACACTTAAAGTAGAACTCTAAATATAAAAAGAAAAAAATAGGGTGGGGAAAAATGAAGTCACTAGCACCAAAGTGTACCATTGGATCAAACTGTATTTGGAATTGTTGGGTTACCCCAAATAATACCCCAGAGGTTAAATCTGCCGTGGACTTTGTTTTCTCTTCTGCTGAATCAGATCCGTCCCATGAGCTTGGGATACGAGACGTCACAAGACACAGGCATGCCTTGTATTACTCAGTTTCAAAATTGTATTCAGCGAGTTAGATATTTGCATAGGACTAAACATAAGGCATTAGCTGAGCTGTAGCCAAACACAGGTTAGCAGTTTGCATGCGTAATACAATGGAACTAGCTAATAATACACTCTTGTTTCTTAGAAATCACTTTTTTTTCACTATAGCTTAAATGGATATTCTGCCTAGAGACCGTAAGCATAAAATTAATTTTAATCCATTCAGGAATAAAGCTAGGAAGGGCTAGGACCTTTTTTACTGCTTTCTGTGGCCCTGTGAGTTTTTACCTTACTTCCTGTCTGGGTAACAACATTAGCCTGATGATGAAGTTGTCACCTAGAGGTTCTTGCCATTTCCTACCCTTCTCTAGTTTAGGTAAGTTACTTAAAGGAGGATATTCTTCTAATTCTTTAATAAAGGATAACTAGTCTTGTTCTAATTGTGTAACAAGAAAAGCTTGACCCGAATTGTCTGACATATGTGTGGTGGGAAAAGCTTTATGTGAATTGTCTGACCTATGTGTGGATGAAAAAGCTTGTTCCAATAGTATGACCTATGTGTGGTGGCGAAAGCTTGATCCCAATAGTATGACTTGTATGTGGTGGGGAAAGTTTGTTCCCAATAGTATGTCCTATGTGTGGTGAGGAAAGCTTGATCCCAATAGTATGACCTATATGTGGTTGGGAAAGCTTGTTCCCAATAGTAGGACCTATGTGTGGTGGGGAAATCTTTTTCTCAATAGTAGGGCCTATGTGTGGTGGGGAAATCTTTTTCCCAATAGTAGGGCCTATGTGTGGTGGGGAAAGCTTGTTCCCAATAGTATGACTTATGAGTGGTGGGGAAAGCTTGTTCCAAATAGTATGGCCTATGTGTGGTGGGGAAAGCTTGTTCCAAATAGTATGACCCATGTGTGGTGGGGAAAGCTTGTTCCAAATAGTATGGCCTATGTGTGGTGGGGAAAGCTTGTTACCAATAGTATGACCTATTTGTGCTGGGGAAAGCTTGTTCCCAATAGTATGGCTTATGTGTGGTGGGGAAAGCTTGTTCCAAATAGTATGACCTATGTGTGGTGGGGAAAGCTTGTTCCAAATAGTATGACCCATGTGTGGTGGGGAAAGCTTGTTCCAAATACTATGGCCTATGTGTGGTGGGGAAAGCTTGTTACCAATAGTATGACCTATTTGTGCTGGGGAAAGCTTGTTCCCAATAGTATGGCCTATGTGTGGTGGGGAAAGCTTGTTCCAAATAGTATGACCTATGTGTGGTGGGGAAAGCTTGTTCCAAATAGTATGACCCATGTG